TAAACTTCAAAATGTGCAACAGCTCCAACAAAATAGAATTGCATTCTTAATCACGTAACAATACTGGGCCAGTGACAGAGCACTGGGAAGCTCTCCTCCATGTATTCAGGTGTAGGTTGATTGGGGGGAACAGGGGTTGTACACCATCTTCAATTCATGGCTTCCCAGGTCACCTTGGGGTCATGTCTGTATTCCATCTAGATAAAATTGGAGAAGTGTGCATGAGAAATGTTCCTTTTCTTTGACATTTTTAATTATAAAATAAAGCATAGATATAGAAATCCACACACAATAAGCATTATCATTATGCAAACACTCTGTAACCACTACCCAGGTCAAGAAATAGACTTTGCCAGCCTCTGTAGAAACTCCTTTTATATTTCCTGCCTCCCTCAAAAAGCAACATTATCCTGACTTTGAGAATGCTCTCTTCCTTGCATTCCTTTGTGTTTTTATCACTCTGATATGCATCTTCAGATGATATAGTTTAGGTTTGCCCACATTTTGGGATTTATTTTTTAGTCTCTTAATCTGTTGCATCCCCTTCCATCCCTTTCTTTTGCTTATAATCTATCTGTTGGGGAACCCGGATGGTTTGTACTGTAAGGTTTCCAGAGTCTGCATTTAGCTGAATAGATATGTGTGATGCAGTCCCATATGTTATTCTGTCTTCTATATTTTGTGTAAATCACCAAGGGGATCCAGAGCTTCTACCATGTTCAAGTTTGATCCCTTTGGCATCACCATACTTGGGATTGTGCTGTTTCATCAGAAGGCATATAATGTCTGGTTCTCTCTCTCTTTTTTAAATTGAAGTATAGTTGATATACAATATTATATGTTACAGGTATACAGTATAGTGATTCACAATTCTTAAATTGTTGTATATTTTTTGTGATGTTTTCAACCACTATTGTTCATTGTCTGATGTCTTAATTCATTAAAGGTTGCAAAATGGTGGTATTCTATCCTTTTGTCTTCATTTATTAAGTGGACTAAATTTATAGACATTTTCCTCTTTACAAAGAATTTCAGTTCATGTAGGAAAGGCAAGATGTATTCTTGATTCTTCCAAGATAAATGAATTGGTTCTTTGTCATCCTCTGAAGGTGACCAATTAATTATTATTATTTTTTAGTCATTATAAACTCATTTAAACATATTTGATGGGTTTCAAGCCACTGGAATTTTTATTCTTTGTGACGTTTAAATTGTCTAGTCTTTGGCCAAGTGGGAGCCTCCTGAGTTATTTTTACATGACCCTAGTAGTCTTTGATCTCTCTTTGCTGTCTGGTATAATAAGATATTTCAGGCTATTTGTATATTTCTAGCCTCAAAGAAATTGGAATCAACCATTTCTCTAAGAAGTCCTAGTTTGGTTTAGGGGAAAATTGTATTTCAAGATGTTCATTGCTACTGGGCTGGCCATTGTTCTTAGACCTTTTCATTGGACAGAACTTGGAAATTGTATGTGTATGTTTGTGTGTGTGTGTGTGTGTGTGTGTTTTCACTTTAAAATCTCATGTGTTCATACTGATATTTCTACTTCAGATCTAGGATTATAGGGTTTTTCCTTAACCTCTTCTATATTACATCATCTTTCTTCCACACCAACACTTCTTGTTAGCAAGAACACAGGAGATGAGAAATAAACTTTCATAACTGTTTGCTTTATTTTACCTTGAAACACAATAGTGTTAGAATAGCAAACTTTATAGTACCATTATAATTAAAATTACATAAGATAGTTAAAATCTTTTCACAAAAAAGATCCTATTCCCTTTCTCTTTTCATTTTTACCTCTTCATTGCCAGAGCATACATCCATTTTATATTATATTCTCTCCCATTTGACTACCCTATATTCTTAGTTCTATAAACATGTATATACTGAATGCTCACTGCCAGTACTTATGTTATGTTTTTCTAGATATTATGTTGATGTTTTTCTAGTTATTTTGCCAGGTAAGGTTCGTTCTCTAACAGATTCCCTAAGTCTCATAGCAACAATATTTTCTGAGTTCTTGCATGTTGATCAAATTTGGTCTGTGGTTTATATCCTTGAAAGTCAGTTTTGGGGGTTATAAAATTCTTAGCTCATATTTTCTTCCCTTGAGTATCTTAAATATAGTATTTCATTTTCTTCTGGCAAAAACTTTGATGTTGAAAAGTCTGGTCATCATCTGATTTTCTTTCCTTTATAAGTCACATGGTCTATTTGCCTAAGTATATAAGGATTTGCCCCTTTTTCCTTTAGAATCCAGTTTTCTTGGTTGATAGTAGAGGTCACTCTTCTCAAGTACATGATATGCTTTTTCAGAAAATAGTTTATATATATATAATATATATTTCTATATAGAATATATATTTCTACATTGAATGTATAAAGAATATAATTTATATATTTTTTAATAATTATATAAAATAAATATGTAAGTGATTATATTTATATAATAACCTTAATTGAAAATTTTATATATATATATTGAGAAAAACTTTCATGAATTTTAGTTCTTAGTATTCTTTCTGTTTTCTTGCTTTGATTTTCTTCTTTAGGGACCTCTAGTAGCCATAAATTGAATTTTCTTTGCCTATCTCCAATATTTGTCACTTTTTCTCAAATTTTTTTAAATCTCTTTTGCAAAAATTTATTTTGGGTAAAAATTTTTCCTTGTTTTATCTTTTTATTTCTCTTGAGGCATTTGCTATTGTGTTTATTCATTCTTGTTTAGTCTTCAAATGATTTTTCTTTCATTTATAATTCTTTTCTGAGTTTCATGACTTCATCCTATAATTTCTTCTTTTCCTAATTTATGTTCTTTCATATCTTGCATCATTTTTAGTGTATTTTAATATGTTTGAAATAGTAGATTACAGTTTTAATTTGTTTTACAGGCATATTTTTCTGGCATGCTTTTAGTTTGTGTAGAGATGATATATTTTTCTTATAATAATTTTTGTGAGTTTTGACCTTGATAATTTCAAGTTGCTCATTTTTATGTGAACTCAATCTTCCTGAAGGTTTAGACAGAGGCTAGAAGAGCAAATGGGTCTTCTAGCTTCACAGAGTTCTCACTCCTGTTACTTTTGTGTAACATTTAAAAGTACAATGGCTTAGACACAAAATGACAAATACTGTATGATTTCACTTATATGAAAGTTCTAGAATAGGCAGATTCATAGAGACAGAGAGTAGATTTATCAGGGGCTGGGAGGAGGGAAGCATGGGGAATTTTTGCTTAATGTTTATACAATTTCTATTTGGGGTGATGGAAATATTTTGGAACTATATGGTGGTGTTGGTTGCACAACATTGTGAAGCTAATTAATGACACTGAATTGTACACTTAAAAATGGTTAAAATGGAAAACTTTATGCTATATATATTTTACCAAAATAAAAATTTTAAGATTAAAAAATACAACACAGTGGCTTGACTGGTGAGATAGCCTGGCTCTGACAATTGCCCCCACTTTACCTGGACTTTCCCTTTCTTTTATCTCTGTTGTCCCCATCCAGTTCAATTTTGATTTCACTCCCAGTACTTTCTCCTTCATGAGGGTCTCTGTCCTGGAAGAGAGCCAAGCCAGGTCAGTTTCAAGTGTCCACTGCACTGTCCCCTTCAGAGTTTTTCACAGTGGCTTCTGCTACTTGACACCTTATGATGGCAGGCAAGTTATTTAACTTTTCCAAGTCCCATTTTCTTTATTTGAAAAACTGGCATAAGACTAGTCCCTATCTCATAGTATTGTTGTGAGGATTAAGTAATGTAATATGTAAAGATCTTGGTTAACCTTAGTTGTCTGGCACATCATATACACCCAGAATATATGAGCTCACCAATAAAAACATTATTCCCAAGCAGAAATTTAACACACCTTGCTAAATGAGTAACTAATTAATGTTAATTAATTAATTTGTTATATTTTATTATAACAATGTTATATTTTATATGGTGAAATGTTCAACTCAATCCAGAGTTAAACCAAAACTAAGCTACACATACACACATGCATACTTTATGGTAATTAGTGCAAAAAGGACCCGAGATTTGTGCAAAATTCTCCTCTGACCAATGATAAATGTGTCTGTGTATCACCTTATCAAAAGATTTGCCTGAATACTCCTGAATAGGAATATTTGTTTGGAAAATATGCACATTGTTTATCATCTTCTCTCGTATTTATTTGTATTTGGGGTGTTTTCTCCCTGTATATATTCTGACAGTTATGAACAAAGGAGCACTAAGGTAATTGTTCAGTACAGTTTCATTTCATTTTCATGCAGCTGCCCTGCTTCCCATTTTAACAATGTGGGAATGATGTGTAATTATGCACTGTTAGAAATTTGGGTATGTTTATTCTAACTTACCCTGAAGAATAATTGTCAGTACTACTTTCTGGAGCACAGCAACTATATCATCATGGCACCTGGGCAGACACATTTTTGATGTCGTTAGATGTTTCATGTTTCCACTTCCATTAAATACAAACAATGGATCTATAAAGGGTAGGAGACTGCAGAGCGGTAAGGTTTTAGGGTGTCTTCAAGGCCCAGTTCACTTAAAGTTCTCCCCACCTGTTGAATGATTCCTAGATTTCTCCTTTTTCTAAAGAGCCCAAGTTTTTGAGCTGAATCAAGATTCAAAACCTGAAGGGAGACATTTGGCCAATGAAGGATGAGAGCAGAACTTTCATAAGGAGAGCCTATAATGTATTGAGCTACAGGCCATGCGTAGGCCAACTTTCAAGTTGACCTACAATACAGTTAATTCAGAATCATTCATCAGTCATATCTCTTTGCCTTCCTTTGATGTGATAAGCAACAGCAAGTTTAAAAAGAGAGTTAGAACATTATACGTGTGGACAATGAGAACTGGGACTTTAGAAAAACTATTTCCAGGCAGTGATATAATTCATATGGCGAAATGAGTAATACGCTCAAATAGACAATTCCTCTGTTCCTTAATTGTGTGTGTTTCTGTTTTTGTTTTTACTGTAGCTTCGGAAAGCAGTGATGGATCACATATCTGATTCTTTCTTGGAAACCAACGTCCCTTTGCTAGTTCTCATTGAGGCTGCAAAAAGTGGGAACGAGAAGGAAGTGAAGGAATATGCCCAGGTTTTCCGCGAGCATGCCAACAAGCTGGTGGAGGTAAGTCAAGAGAGGCCCAAGACTAGAATTTATCAGTGGGTTTAATCTCTACATGTCTCTTGGAATTTCAACAGGCCATCCTTCTATGGTTTTCCTGGATCTTTCTTTTATTTTCTGTTGACTCCATCCCTTGCAAAGGAAACAGGTTTTCAGTAATCTCTCCCCTCTCTATTAGACAATTCTAAACGTGTTCTGAAACATGTCTGCTAATTTTCCTGAACAATAAGCAAAGGCTGAAACAGGAGCAATAGAAAGGACCCTCCAAAGTGCTGAAGACCACGTTTGATTGGAGGGAATAGAATTAAAATTGCCAAAAGGAGATTTAAACACTGTTCCCTTTACGTCCCCATCTCCACTCCACTCACCTAAGCCTGGATTAGCTGGCCACGTTATGAACATGTAAAAATCAATCCCCCCTCCCTATAAGAGATGTCTGAACTCCTGGCGAAGGATCTTGGGGCAGTAGTAGGAGTGTAAGTTCAGGTCCTAAGTATATTCTCTGTGTTAGAGACATCTGTGGGAGTTGCTTTATAAATGCAAAATTGTGCTGTGTGATTTTGAGAAAAAATATTGTTCAAGGGAAACAAAATAAAAGTGAAATGTTAACGAGACTGCCTAAATCTAAGAGTTGAAAACCAACAGCTTGGCAAAGGTTGGATTGAGTGATGTAGGGCTACATAGAAAAAAGAGATGCTGAACAGGAAATGTGTGTGATAGAGAAAAAGAGTCAAGGAGGGCAAGGGTCCTGGCAAATTAAGGGAATGGTTATCAGAGCCAGGTTAAACCTTTTTCAGGGTCTGAGTACTTAGAAACAACAGCAAAAACAGCAACAAAAATTCTGGTACAGCCCCACTGTAACTCAAAAATAAAATAAAATTACTCAAAACTGCAGACAACTTAAATGCAAGCTAAAAATTAAATAAATTACTTATTGTTTTCTTTGGAGGGCAAAATTAAATTCTGAATAAGTTCATCAGATATGAAATGCTCTCCATTTTTCTTGCAGTGAGTGATGCGGTTGTGCTCCAATTTAATCATGCCCTAAGCATCTGCTTGGTTCACTCTTTGGTTAATCCAGCACTGCTGTCGCTTCTGGGCCTGAACACTCAGCCTGCAGGGAGTCCTACATCAAGCCTAGAGGAGGCCCCTGGTCCTCTAGGACACAGGCTGAGATATTACCCATGACAGCAGTTGGCAAGCTGAACATGCAAAAGCTGAAACTACTAAAATAAAACCCTTGAACTTCCTACCATAGCTCCAGTGTCTTGAGGTGACACCAGACTAGAACTAAAGATAGGGTCGTACTTATAATATCAAGACAGTCTTTCTGGCTCTGTCCCCACGGATGGGGCAAGCATCCTATTAGTCTTTACATTCCACACACAAATTCCAAGCTCCAAATTGGCCATTGAAGAATCCAGAGTCTTTCCAAGGTTGCCTTGGAAGTTCTGGCCCCTTCTGTTAATTTGAGAAAGAGCAGGTAAAGAAGGAGAAAAAGGGGTAGAAGGATACAGAGAGGCAGAGGAGGAAAGAAAGAATGCTGAATGAGTGCTATAAAAGTTTAAAATATTTGTATGTAATTAATAATATTAACCTACAGATACATCATCCCATATATATAATCACAGTATTGACGTGATAACTGCAGAATTTATAGAGGATGTTAATTCATAGTGTCATAGGCATTAAGGATGAAGAAAAGGACATGACTTCAAAGTTATATGATAAACATCTTCTACTTTCAGTCCTGTCAGTGTCTTTCTGTAATTCTGTGTGTAACCTCATTTGTAGATGATGTTTGAAGTTCAAACTTGATGCCCTGTGTAAATGTGAGGCCAGGACCAAGTAGCCCACTCGTCTACTCTTTCTCCCTTCTCCTGTGATAGACCCTGGACACACCCACCATTTCCCTTCATCCCATCTGTAGGTTTCACTGAAGGGGAATCCAGCCACTCTGGGTGATCCTTGATCCACAACTTGTGCCAGAAGCAGCAGCTTCATGTCATTCAGACTCCACATTTCAGACCATTGCTGATTTGCTTCCCTTAGTTGTTCCTTTCCTTCCCCTTGTGTGGTCACTGCAGCAGCATTTTAGAATTTCTTGATGCCCAGGAGGTGCCATGGCTAGGGTATGCACTAGCCTGTGTTTGATTAGAGGTGAATAGGAATTGAAAACATTTCTGTAGCTTATGTACTTCAAACAAGTGCTTCATTGCTGATGCATACATGTAAGAAAACTTGAGTGCTGGGCTGACAGTCACCATTTTGAAAGTGTCTGTATGGACTTGGGCACTTTTCTGGGCCTTAGTTTCTGTGTCTATAATATCAAAAATTTGGTTGATATATTGATTTTCATATCTATTAACTTGATAAATGCTCTTACTAATGCCAAATTTTGACTGTAGCCTTTAGGATTTTCTGTATACACAATCATGTTGTCTGAAAATTATGACAGTTGTATTTCTTTTTTTCCAATACTTGTATCTTGTTTATTCCTTGCATTATTGCACTAGCCAGATGTTCAGATCAATATTGTGGTAACAGATATTTCTGTTACTTTTAGATCACAGTGATAAAATTTAAATATTTTACCACTAATTATATTTATTGTTCTAGATTTCTTGCAGATACTTTTAGTAGATTAATTTAGTTGTCTTCTGTTATTCCTTCACTAAAATTTTAAAAAATCATGAATACGCATAAAATTATATCAAACAAAATTTCTGCACATTTTGAGACAGTTGTATGATTTTTGTCTCCTTTATTCTCCTTCAGAGGTATCAAAATTATGCTTTCTCTCAAACAATGAGTAAGAAATTATTCCATCTTTCTGTTTTCTGGGAGTGAATGAATGTGTAAGACTGGCATTATATATTTTTTAAATATTTGGAGGAATTCACTGATATAGCAATCTGAGTCTGGGTATGTATTTGAGGGAGATTTTTAAAAGTACAGATTCTTTTTTTTAAAACCTAAGACTATTTAAATTTTCTATTTCCTTTTGGGTCAGCTTTGGTAAGTTATATTTTAGAAATTTATTTAAATTTAATTTTGTAAGTTTTCAGCATAAAATTGCCCATGTCGTCTAATTTTTTTTTAATGTGTGAGAGTTTGCACTACTCTTTCTTTCTTTCTTTCTTTCTTTCACTCCTCATATGGCTAATTAGTGTCTTCTCTTTTTTTTAATTGATTAGTTTTGTAAGAGTTTGATCAATTTAATAATCTTTTCTAAAACACAAATTTCAGCTTTGTAGATTTTGCTTTTCTTTAAATTTTATTTATGCTCCAATCTTTGTATTTCTTTTTTCTGCTTTCTTCTGGTATAACTTACTGTTCTTTTTCTAACTTTTTGAAATGGATAATCATATCATTGATTTTTAGCCCTTCTTATTTTAAAAATATTTGCATTTAAGGCTATAAGTTTCTTCCTAAGCTATACTTATGTCTGGTTGTTTTCTACTGACCTAATTTTAAGTTCACTCATCTGTGTCCAATATACTTAAAACTGATCTACTGCGTTCAATTTTTATTTAAGAATTTCTAGTTGATTCTTTTTTTTTTTTAAATGATTCCAGTTCTCTGGTATAATTCATTATCAGGTCATCTCCCTTAAAAAATAAATTAATCAGGGGCTTCCCTGGTGGTGCAGTGGTTGAGAGTCCGCCTGCCAATGCAGGGGACACAGGTTCGTGACCCGGTCTGGGAAGATCCCACATGCCGCAGAGAGGCTAGACCCATGAGCCATGGCCCCTGAGGCTGCGCGTCTGGAGCCTGTGCTCCGCAACAGGAGAGGGCACGACAGTGAGAGGCCCGGGTACCGTAAAAACAAACAAACAAACAAACAAAAAGACATTAATCAGAGTTATTTTAAAAATCCAAGTCAAAGAACTCCAATATTTGGATCAATTTTGTTTCCATATTGTGGTTGCCCCACAGAGGGCAACTTTCCTGTCCCCTGAAATCAGCTTGAATTTCAAGACTGATGATGCAACAGCAGCCACCAAGAGGGTATGAACAGCTCTATTACTTACATAGTGGGACTTTCTAGAGAGAGCAGAGAAGGTGCCCAAGCCAGTCCACAGTGGCTTCAGCAAAGAGATGAACAGGTGCTTTTGGTCTTTATCAAGTTGTGGGGCTGGAGTCAAGATTTCCATGGAGGGGCTGGATCTTGAATGTTTCTTCAAATTTCCCTCCTGGCATCAAAAAAAAGGTGGGTTTTCCTATCAGTTTGCCCAGCTGTGGAGCAAGAGGGAAAGGGAGAGAAGAGTGAGACTTAAACACTGCCAGCAGTCAAATATTCAAAATGGAGTTAAAACTCTTAATCATAATTCACCTCTGATGTTTGCCTGGTGACTGGAATGTGCCATGTTTCATTTAATTGAATCTGTACTTGTTTAAATAAGTGATTATGGAGCCTTATAAGACTTTCAAAATGGAGACTTTATTATGGTGACTGTTTTTATTATTTGATTTTATCTTGATTATTATTATTATTTATTTTTAGTACACTGGGTAATTTTTGATTGAATGGCAAACATGCTTATGAAAAAATATAGAGGGTCTTCATCTATTCAGGCTGCTGTAACAAAGTACCGCAAACTTGATGGCCTGTAAAACCAGAAGTATATTTCTCACAGTTCTAGAGGCCGGGAATTCCAAGATCAAGGCCCAAGAATAGATGTGTTTTGGTGAAGGCCCTCTTCCTGGTTCATAGCTGGCAACTTCTCACTGTGTTCTCACATGGTGGAAGGGGAGAGGGATCTCTGTGGGGTCCCTTTTATACACTATCTGGAGAAAAACATGGTCTGAAAGGATACATGTACCCCAATGTTAATTACAACGCTGTTTACAGTAGCCAAGACATGGAAGCAACCTAAATGTCCATTGACAGATGAATAAAGAAGATGTGGTACATATATATATATATATAATGGAATATTACTCAGCCATTAAAAAGAATGAAATAATGCCATTTGCAGCAACATGGATGAACCTGGAGA